GAGAGTCCGCACTTCCTCTTGAGCAATTTGTCGGCTGGTACCTCAGGGCGAGGTGGAATGAATACCAGCTTTGGAGTCAGAGTCCTGAGGTCAGATGCCTTACGGGAGGGTGTTACTCATGGTATCACTCTGGGCAAGTCATTTTATCTCCCTGAGACTCAGTTTCCTAAAATGGGCATGAAAGTAGCCACCCCCGCGCTGTCCAATAGAAATATGCCAGTCACGTCTCATTACGTTAAAAAAAAATCTGCAGTTGTTTTACATCATTTTTAGCATTACGTTTTCAAAATCTGGGTATTTTAGTTTTTCCTAAAACAATTTTTTTTTTTAAATCCTCACCTGAGGATATTTTCCCATTGATTTTTAGGGAGAGTGGAAGGAAGGGGGAGAGACAGAGAAAGACATGATGTGAGAAACACATTGATTGGTTGCCTCTTGCAGGCGCCCCAACCAGGGCCTGAGCCAGGGAGGAGCCTGCCATTGAGGTACGTGCCCTTGACCGGAATCGAACCCAGACGTATGCTCTATCCACTGAGCCAAACCTGCTAGGGCCAGTTTTAGCAAATTTCAGTTTGGCCTAGCCACATTTTTAAGTGCTCAATAACCACATCTGGCTGTTTGAACAACAGGGATCTACACCTTTGTTGTGCCTTCCGGGCTTAGAAGAATAAGGGGCCCTGCAGATGGCCTTTTGCATAGTATGATTTTTACAAAATTCTTCACTCAGTTTTTTAGTCTTGGAGATGACAGTAGGCAGAGACTTTGTCTCAAGGAAATTTACAGTCTAGCGAGGGATCCAGATGATTAAATAGACATTCACACACTGGGTGGTAGGTGTTCTAATAGAGAGGAGCTCAGGGTGCGTGGGTAACAGGAAACTTGGGAGGAGGCTTCTTTGGTGGTGGTTGAGCTGAGTCTGAAGAGATGAGAAAGAGTTAACTAGGTGGAGGAGGCAGGGAGAGCAACACTCAAATAAATTCTGTGGTATGAGGAGATTATGTGTTATATTTGGAAAGTGGTAGGGTGCTCAGCATTGGAGTAAGTGTGTGTGTGTGTGCGTGTGTGTGCGTGCGTTCATGCATGCTTGCTTGTGGGTGTGTGGAGGAGTGGCTGAGAGTGAAGCTGGGGCGGGTGGGGAGGCCATGGAAAAGGGTAGGACGCTGATGGCCTTACATGCCTTTGATTTTGTCCTTTAGGCCAGTGTTCACCAAAATGCATGCTATGGAAGCATAGTTCTGTTAGATGTTCAGTGAAGAAAAAACTTCTCCAGCCAAATTATGTAAGAAAAGCTCTTTTCTTCAGCTCCTCTTTAAGAGTCACAATAATCATTAACATAGTAGAGGCTAGGACAGGGATGGCGAACCTATGACATGCGTGTCAGAGATGACACACGAACTCATTTTTTTGGCTGATTTTTCTTTGTTAAATGGCATTTAAATATATACAATAAATATCAAAAATATAAGTCTTTGTTTTCCTATGGTTGCAAATATCAAAAAATTTCTATATGTGACACGACACCAGAGTTATGTTAGGGTTTTTCAAAATGCTGACACGCCGAGCTCAAAAGGTTCGCCATCACTGGGCTAGGATAAGGATAAGAACTAGTAAAAAGAAGCCTGTTTACCTTTGTTTCCCATTAGCTTTCTGCAATAGATTCCTTTAAAACCGAGCAGGACAGTTATTTCTCAAAAGCACAATGTGAACACTGCAGTAGGTGAGAAAAATTCATGGGCAGGTTCTAAGGTGAGTAATAGGATGGGATTTGCTGACTAATGGGAGGCTGTTTCTCTCTAGAAAGTGATGAGGCCTGAACTAGGGCAGTGGTGATAGTCATGGAAAATAAGGGGTGGGTTAGGGACTTGGAGATTGCTTGGCTGTAGAGGGGGAAGGAAAAGGAGGCAGGTTTCTGGTGTGAGTGACCTGGTGGATTAGGTGCCTTTCATGGTACAGAGGAACCCTGGAGGGTGAGAAGTACGTTTGGAGGGTAAGTAAGGTGATGGGTCTGGCTTTAGATATGGAGGGTCTGAGGCACCTGTGAAATAGGTGAAGCAGTCTGAGTTGGAGACAGATTTGGAGGATGTTAGATTAGAGTGGTTGAGAAAGCCAAGGGGGTGAATGAAGTCTCCCAAGTGGGTGGAGTAGGTGGAGCGGGGTGGGGGGTGGGGGGAGGGAGGAGCTTTGTGGAAGACTGAGTAATTCTCCAATTCAGAAGAAGAGGATGGGCCCATAAGTTAACAGAAACCCAGAGAGGGCTTAGCCAAAGCCACGCAATAGGATGTTGATGTTAAGGCTATGATATTTCATCATTGCAAGTATTTATATCCATTTCTTACCTATCCCATTGGTGTGTGGCCTCCTGTATCCAGGGAGCCACAGTTATGAAGGGTTTCTCCATTTCAAAAAAAGGGATGTTCAAACCCAGAATGCAGAGCACATCAGTGAATAAAAGGCTCACTGTGTGGACCCTTACCCACCAACCAGATGTGGCCCCAGCAAGTAGGTGTTGAAGAGTAGCAGGCAGGAGTGGTGAAGTTGGCTTGTCTCTGACCTTTCCTATCCAGCTGACTTGGAGCTAGATGAGGTGGAGGACTTCCTTGGGGAGCTCATGACCAACGAGTTTGATACAGTTGTGGAGGATGGGAGTCTGCCGCAGGTGAGCATGTCATGGGCACAGCTGCCCCCTTCTTGCCTATAGTTTTTCTTCTCCCCAAGTGTCTATTTTCGGCCAAGACTCTTGGCTCTAACCATTGATCTTGCACAAGAACTTTTTATGACTCCCTATTGCCTAGTCTTCCAAGGCCTTTCCAAATCCTACCTCTTTTTTTTTAACTAAATTTTTTATTGACTTCAGAGATGGAGAGGGAGAGAGAGAAATATCAATGAGTGAGAATCACTGATTGGCTGCCTCCTGCATGCCCCCTACTGGGAATCGAGCCTGCAACCCAGGCATGTGCCCTTGACCAGAATTGAACCTGGGACCCTTCAGTTCACAGGCTGACGCTCTATCCACTGAGCCAAACCAGCTAGGGCTTCTCTTTTCTCTTGAGATGCCATTCCCATCCAGGTCTGTTCCTCACCCCCATCCCAAGGGCAGGTCAGGCCACGTACATTTTCACTCCTCCTCTGGTTAACATCACTCCCCTGCTGGGATTGCCTTCCCTTTTACATCTTCCATCTTTCAAACCCAGTTTTAGTGCCTTCCCAGCTAGGAGGCCCTCCTTCAATGCTTCAGGCCATTACCTGAGCTTTTCATATGTGGTTCCTTCATTAGTGAACTCCTTGGGGGAGGAAAGAGCCCCATTCTCCTCTGGGAAATTCCAAACCCTTCCCCACTCTTGCTGCAAACATGGCCTGTTGTATTGTAGCTTCTCTAGAAAACCCAAGCTGGTTGAATGTTTTCTTGATAGGTGAGCCAGCAGCTGCAGACCATGTTCTACCACTTCCAGAGGGGGGATGGGGCCACTATGAAGGAGTTGGCCTCCCACATCACCCAAAGAAAGCGCAGGGTTAGAGCCACTGCACTTTCGACAGACAGACAGACGGATGATGATAATGCGGACAGTGCGGAGGAGATGGAGGTAAGAGGGGTGCCCTTGGGTGGGGGAGATGTAGATTTTTAAAAAACTTTTATTATTATTATTAATGATTTGAGAGGAAGGGAGAGGGAGAGAGAAATAGAAACATCAATGATGAAAGGGAATCATTGATTGGCTGCCTCCTGCACGCCCCACACTGGGTATTGAGCTGCAACCTGGGCGTATGCCCTGACCGAGAATCGAATGGTGATCTCCTGGTCCATAGGTCAGCACCCAACCATTGAGCCATGCTGGCTGGTCAAGATGTAGATATTTTCAATTTTCTGGGAGATCAGCTACTTTTGTCGGGAAATGATGGGGGTGGGATGGTAGTGGCTGTATTATCCAGAGAGGGCAAGGAACTTTCCTAAGGTCACACAGCCAATCCTTGCAAAGCGGGGAGGAGAGCCTGGGTCTCCCAATGGCCACAACTGGGAGGCGTTGTATTTAGCTCTCTCCTGTGTTTCTCCTGCAGGTCACAGCTATGAATGATGGGGCAGTTACTGATGGGGTCTGCCCCCAGCCTGAACCCTCTGGTCCAGACCCCCAGATTATTAAGGAAGAAGATATAGTGGAGGACGGTTGGACCATTGTCCGGAGAAAGAAATGAGTGTGGCTGGCAATGGTTTGGGCCCTTGTAAGGATTCTTTTGGAGGATTGTGGATCTTTGGACTGGTTATCCCATCTCCATCCTCTCCCTATTCCCCTGTCTAGCTCCCTCCAGGGGAAGAAGAGCCCTAGGGTCCTTGGCCTTGGGGTGGTAGGACCTGGTCGACCACACCCTGAACGGTGAGGCCTGGTTTCCCAGCACAGTGCCTTGGGTGAAGTCAGTGAAGAGTCGGGTGAGTGGGTGTGGGTGCGCTTGGAAATGCTGAATGCTGGTTGACAGTGGGCAGGTAGATCTATGAAGGGAGAGAGGACCAGCAGAACCAATACTTCTGCTGGGTCAGGAACGGTGAGATGAACATGGCAGCTGGAAGAGAGTCATTGACAATGTGAACGAAAGTAGCTGTGTTACCTCTCCCACTTTTCTGCTGCCCGTAAACACACACACACACACAGCAGCTCAGCCCCATCCTGCAGCCCAGCCTCCAGCCCTGGTTCCTTCAGGAAGTCTAAGACATTGGCAAGGTGGTGAGCTTGGGGGACCTGGGCTTTGTTTTCTGTCTCCTGCAACCTCTTTCCAAACTCTTCATCCAATTCCATCCATGTCCAGGGATGAGGCTTAAAAGACATGAATAAATAACACCTTAATGATGAACCTGTCACTTGGTCTGTTGTGAGTAGCTTTGGCATCATTCTTCGGGGAGCTGAGACACCAAGCTCGGCAAGGGAGCGGGTTCTGGGCCCACCCGAGCAGTCTGGCACTTTGGACAAACACACAGATGGGCGAACAGAGCACAGCAGTGCCCTGAAAGTTTCCGTAAGCCTGAAATAAACTGTATTTTTTTTTCTTTAAAAAACAAAACAAAACTGAGAGTATCCATTGTTCTTCCCCCCTGTTACCCTGTCCTGCCCGGTGGCCCTGCCATGGGTCTGGACGATAAAATACTGGGTAGCCTTGGGGTTGGGTAGAAGCTGTAAGCCATGGAGAGGCAGGAAGGATCTGGTCACTGCCCCACCTCGCATCGTACGTATGAAGACACTGGGTGAGGGGACAGGGGTGGGCCAGGGCCCCAGTGGGAGAACTGGCACTTGAATCCAGGTCTCTCCTGCCTCTGGTGCTTTTAGGGGGATGGGATAGAGGCAGGATCTGTGGGGTACTGAGGGGATGGGGAAACGGCCTAGTTCAGGCAGGTCTAGCAACAGCTCCCACCCTCCCTGGGGACGGGGATTAAAAAAAATGAACATCACTGTAGGAATATTTCTTTTAAAAGCCCCCATTTTGTGAAAAGATGAATTAAAAAACCCAAGACCCAGCATTCGGGATTGAAAGTGCCCATGATGGGAGTTCAAGTATTGACTGAGCTGGGAGGGAGGGGGCTGGGGCCCCCAATCAGACATGGGCAGCTAGAGTGTGGGGCAGGGGGCCCCAAGTCCCCCCAAACCCTCTAGGTCTTGTCTCGGGTCTGGGGGGCTTCAGAGGGTTCAGCGGTGGCTCCTGAAGCTGCCACCTGTGCCTCTTCCATCTCCCTGTCCTCAGACAGTGTGGGCCCCGGGCAGAACGTGTCCCCACGGCCCGCCCGGCCGAGCACAGCCATCCAGCGCCGCTGCAGCTCCTCTGTCTCGGGGCTGAAGTACCAGCTCAGGTGGCTCTGGGTGATCTTGAAGACATGCCGTCTGTCGGGCCGCTCCCCGGCCTCAGGAGGCCCCACCTCAAAGCCAATGAGGGGCAGGCTGCGCTGGGCTTTCACATCCTGGGGAACGGACAGAGCCAGGGTCACCGGAGGCTGCACTTCTCACTGCTTTTTCATCTGCTAACCCCCCTATTTTCCTTCTGCTCAAGAACCTGCCAAGGCTCTACTGGTAGCAACAGAAACTTGTCTGGGGCTGGCACGCAGGCTGGGTTCAAATACCCGTTTCCTCCTACACCCCAAACCAGCCAGGCTAGTTTCCTTAGTGTATACCAAGTAATGTCTTCAGGCCAGGCTGTTGCCCCCATTTACACGTTCTTCCCCATCCAGATTGGATCTAGTAGTGCCCCACGGCACCCTGGCTTTCTCTGGGAAGCTAGCTCCTCCCCCCGCCCCCACCCTCACATTGGCCCACAATCCTTGTTTCTAGCCAGTCTGTCTCACAAGGGTGGGGGTTCTGATTTCTACTTAGGTTCACGCAATCCCCAAGGCCAAGGAGAGGTCAAGGACTGAAGGGGAAGGGGGGTAGCCTGGCCCTGCCAGGTGGGTGAAGGGACCCGAAGGAGGATGCACACCTGAGGGGCTCCATAGATGTACAGCACCAAGGGCTCATTCTCAGGGACCACAAACCATGCCTTGTGCCAGCCTTTCCCGCCCTTCTCCATGTAGTGCAGGAAGCTGCAGATGACGCTGTTCTCCGCAGCTACTGAGGCCTGCTTCTGTGGCCAGAGACATAGAGGGCATCAGTGTTGATAGAAGGCCTGGCCGGGCTCCTCTGGGCTTCAGTACCCCTCAGCGGAGGTATTGCTGTGCCCATACTTCAGATGAGGACGCTGAAGCTCAGGCGGCAGTAGTGATTTGCCCAATGTCCCCCAGTGAGTCAGACAGGCCATGGCTACTACCTCTAAGAGCTGGTGGGAGAGGCACCTAAATGCCAGTCAGGCGTTGTTCCCTTAGTTCATTTATTCCTCAAGTCCTTTTATGCATTTGTACCTCACCTTTTTATTTTTTCCATCTTTTGTCATATCCATCCCCTACACTCAGCAAGAGGCGACCTGGCATTGTGGTTAAGGGGATGGGGGGGTGGGGGGGTGGGTAAGGCTCAGAATTCCAGCTCTAGATGATGTATTGACTCGGAAGGAAAACAGATAGAGCTATTGTAAGGATTCAATGAATTAATAGATGCAAAGCGCTTAGGATAGTGCCTGGCACAGAGTAAGAGTTCTTTAAATGTTAAATAAAATAAATACCTCGATTTGGCTAAGAAACAAAACCAAAATGTGCACGCGCCTAGAAAGATAGGAAGCATAAGTGTTAGTGATACTCTAGTGGGTAGAAGAAATAGGGTGTTTTTATTATTTGTTTAGATTGTCGAGTTTTCTTCAGTGCACATATCCTACTTTGTAATAAGAAGAGATCATATGTTAATTAAAAAACATGCAATTTCTGCCACTCACTGGTTGTGTCACTTGGTTAAGTAACTTCCTTGGGCCTCAGTTTCCTCATTTGTCAAACAGGGATAGTAATAGCATGGATAGATTCGTTACTATGAAGATAAATGCCTAAAGCACTGAAATAAAAAGCCAGGTGGTTTTGCCAGGTGGCCGAAAGGACCCAACTGGCTTTCATCCAGTTGCATTCATTTTACGAGCTCCAAGCTTGGGTCACTTGTTCAGTGGGTGCACGTGGCACTACAGTTTCAGAGATACCCAGGCCTCAATCACTGGGTGGGTGGCTGGGACCCATGTGCTTGGCGTGTGAGGGTCAGTGCTCATAGGCCTGGCTCTTACCTCCAGGATGGACCTCCGGCGCTGGGGTGTATGCTGGCTGCAGGCTGGGCTACTCCCAGGCACCCCGTGCAAGGCCACATAGCAGTCAGTACACACACGGTTGGAGCGGTTGTTGTCATAGATGAGGCGGGCCCGGAACTCGGAGCACTTCCCACAAACCACCTGAAGTGGCAAATGGGCAAGAGATGCCTGATTTCCAGAAAGCCTTCCCCTTCAGTGTCCCAACTCCCATGATGGACTCCCGGCCTTTCCTCACCCTGCCCTCTCAGAAGGGGGCCTTCTGGCGGTCAGCCTGGCCCCTCCCTGGCTCTGCCCAGCCTCCCAACACTCACGTGTCCGCAGGCCTTGCAGTGGTGCCTGCGCTTGGTGATGGAATTGAAGGGCTCCTGGCAGCGCATGCACATGGTGACTTCCTTTTCTCGGATGGGTGTCGGTGCACGCTTCCCAAGATCCACGTTCTGGAGAGAGGGCCAGGTCCTGGGTCAGAGGCAGCTACTCCCTAGGCCCAGCCCAGCCGGCCCAGCCAACCCTCACCCCTGCCCCAAGGCCTGGATCATCACTGGGAGGCAGCAGACACATTCAGAAGACCTGCCTTCCATAATTTTCTTATTTTACAAAATCCTATCATAGCTGTTAAGCATTTAAAAAAATCCTATCCTTCTTAAAGCTACATAAGCTGTTTTTTAAAACACATATAACAACCCTAGCTGGTTTGGCTCAGTGGATAGAGCATCGGCCTGCGGATTGAAGGGTCCTGGGTTCGATTCCAGTCAAGGGCACATGCCTGGGTTGTGGGCTCCATCCCCAGTGGGGAGTGTGCAGGAGGCAGCCGGCCAGTAATTCTCTGTCATCATTGATGTGTCTAGCTCTCCCTCTCCCTTCCTCTCTGAATCCATAAAAATATATATAAAAAAATAAAAAACAGCCCAGCTGGGTGTGGCTCAGTGGTTTAGCGTCGAACCAGGAACCAAGAGGTCACCAGTTCAATTCCCAGTCAGGGCATATGCCCAGGTTGCAGGCTCGATCCCCAGTGGGGGGTGTGCAGGAGGCAGCTAATCAATGATTCTGTCTCATCATTGATGTTTCTCTCTCTCCCTCTCCCTTCCTCTCTGAAATCAATAAAAATATATTTTAACATAACATAGTATTGTACAATATTCCCATATTCAATGACTAGTCAGTGGTAGTAGTTCAGAGTGTTGTGCCACAATCAGCATAGTTACCCTTTAGTATATGCTTCTGATTTATACGAAATAAATTCCGGGAGATATAGAATATTGCTATACAGTTTTGTTAACTCCCGTTTTTCTGCTACTGTATTACATGTTACATGTATGCATGTTAAAGGCATTGCTGAAAGAAAAAAAAAGACCTGCCTTTGAGTCCCGGGTGTATCCCTACCTTATTGTGCTACTGAACACAAGTCATTTCTACTCTCTGGGCCTGCATTTCCCCAGTGACATCTGCGGCCCTACCAACAAGAGTGTGCTTCCGGTCTCCCTGGGTAAGGTGGGACTTGGAGGTCCAGTATAGAGGGAGGGGGTGGGACTCTTACTGGAGAGTTAGGGGGTGTGTCTTCATCTTCCCTGTTTGTTGAGTTCAACAGTTTGAAGGTCTCCAGCGTCTGTTCGTGCTTCAGAAGGGTGGAGTTGATGGCCTGGGGAGGAGGTGTAAGAAGTAGGTCAGATCACCTCACAACCCGTCCATTTCCACCCTCACCTCACTTTCCTATGACCTAGCGCGAGGTCAGAAAAGTTGCGTTCTAGGCACAGCTCTGCCCCTTGCTAGGTGTCTCAGTTCTTATATTTGTGAAATGCGGGTGGGGATCAGTGGCTGAAAAACCTCAAAAGGCCTTCCTAGCCACTGTCTGGGCTTAATTACGCTTTTACAGGGCTTAACTCACTGGGCTCACACTCCCAGAGGAGGCAGGTCTCTAAAGGAATAATTTGTGAGTTTTTACCTCTGGACCTCAGTGAGCTTATCTGTAAAATGGGGCTGGGAAAGTTTGCTGTCCAGGCTCATAGTGGTCAGATGTCAGTTTTAGGGGAGAGTTCACCAACCCCTTGGGAGCCTGTGAATACTCTTCCTGCCCCTACCACAAAGCCTTCTTGGATGTTACCTGGACCCAGTCTTTCTTCTCCTCCTCAGTCCTTGGGGGCAAAAAAGAAAGATGTTGGGTTAGGCAGGCCAAGCAAAAGCGATCAGAGAGGTAAAGAGCAGATGTTTTGGAGTCAGACAGACCCGGGTTTGACCCTCTACTCCTTCACTTATAATGCATGTGACCTTAGGCACATCCTTTAACCTGTCTGAGCTATTTATCCAGTAGTTACTAATACCTTCCAGACTTGGTGCTAGGGACTTGGACCCCAGAGGGGACCCTACCCTCAAGGAGCTAGTGGCCTGCGGGGTGGGGTGAGGGTGGGGGGGGGCAAACAGGGACAATACAAGGGTATTAGTGCTGCGACAGTGAAATCGGGCTGAGGAGTCCAGAGGAGGAGACCAGCCCCGTCTGCAGTTTGGGTGGGGGGTGCTAAGGAAGGGCTTCCCTTAAGGAGGTGCTAAGCTTCAGGTAAAGATGAGGTGTGTGTGACAGTAGGGATATACAAGGAACCATAAATAGTTCCCTCTTGCAGGAATGTCAAGTTTGAGACAGAAGAGCAGTTTCTTTTTCTTCACTTGGAAAATGGAGAATGATCATTACTTAACTGGGGTGACATTTACATGCCCAACAGAATCCCTGGTACACTAGATGCTCAATGAGTGTGGATTTCCCCCTCCCTTGGCCTTTCTCCCCTGACTCTCCTGTCTGCCCCGCAGTTTCCAAGGCCTCTGCCCTGGTTGCAGCCAACTTCTTGGCTGATTTCCTCCTGGTCTCTTCTAATGACCTTCATATGCATGCTCCAGACATCAAAAGTGCTCTTCTAACCCTAGCTGGTTTGGCTCAGTGGATAGAGCATCAGGCTGTAGACTGAAGGGTCCCAGGTTTGATTCCGGTCAAGGGCACATGCCCGGGTTGTGGGCTTGATCCCCAGTAGGGGGCGTGCATGAGGCAGCCAATCAATGATTCTCTCTCATCACTGATGTTTCTATCTCTCTCTCCCTCTCCTTTCCTCTCTGAAATCAATAAAAAAAATTTTTTTAAAGTGCTTTTCTAGTATGAAAGTGTGATTATATCTTTAGAACCACTTCATGAAAAATTAAGGATGTGAGCCAATATTTAGCTACAAGTGTGTTCACTGGAATGCTGTTTATGCTAGTAAAAAAACTGGAAGTGGCCTAAGTCTCTGACAATAGGGAATCAGGTAAAAAAAGAAAAAGAAAAAAAAAGTACATCACTACTGAACACCAGCCAGGGCCAGCATTCTATTTTTGTTTAAAAATTATATGTGAGCCCTGGCCAGTGTGGCTCAGTTGGTTGGAAGTTGTCTCATGCACCGAAAAGTTGCCAGTTCAATTCTCAGTCAGGGCACATGCCCAGGTTTCTGGCTTGATCCTCAGTGGGGAACGAGCAGGAGGTAGCCAATCGATGTTTCTCTCTCTTACATCAATGGTTCTCTCTCTCCCTTCCTTTCTTTCTAAACACCAATATAAATATTTAAAAAATATATGTGACATGAGTGTTTACATTTGTCAAAACTCATCAATGCATTTGACCCCCTTAAGGCGTATGCATTTCACTGTTTGCAAATTTTGCCTCAGGAGAAGGAGGATACCTAAAACAAATATTGAACTTTAGTTGATTATATGCCCATGAACGTCTTTAGGGGTGAGGTGTAGCAATGCCTACAAATGACTTTGAAGTGCATTTTAAAAATCAGATGGATTGGTAGATGGATAAAAAGATTTGCAGAATCTATACAGTGGGCTTCTAGGTGTTCATTGTACAATTCTTTAAACTTTTCTGTATCTTGGAAATTTTTCATAGTTAAATACGGAAAGAAAACATTGTGTGCTTATATGTGAGTATGCATACGCGCGCGCGCGCGCGCGCGCACACACACACGTGTGCGCATACATATGTGAATAGAGGAAAGGCCTCAGAGGGGATCTACCAACACAGCAGTACTGGTTCTCTCTAGGTGGTACAATTCTAGGGAATTTTACTTTATTCTGATTTGTACTATTTTTTAAAATTCTACTTTGTTTATATTTTCTAATTTCTTTGCAATAGAAAAGATTGCTTTTGATTTTTAAGAGCCACAACAGTGTTTTTGGCAATGCATGCTGAAGTATATAGGGGTGAAGTGCCATGTCTGTAATTTACTTTAAAATGGTTTAGTAAGCCGGTTTGGCTCAGTGGATAGAGCATTGGCCCGTGGACTGAAAGGTTCCGGGTTTGATTTCGGTCAAGGGTATGTACCTAGGATGCCGGCTCCGCCCTTGTCAGGGCGCATGCAGGAGGCAACTAATTGATGTGTTTCTCTCACATCCATGTTTCTCTCTGTCTTTCCCTCTCTTTTCCATCAATGGAAAAATATCCTCAGGTGAGGATTAAAAAATAAATAAATAAATTAATTAAATGGTTTAGTAAGCCTGGCCAGCATGATTCAGTGGTTGAGTGTCAACCTATTTGATTCCTGGTCAGGGCACATGCCTGGGTTGCAGGCTCAATCCCCAATAGGGGGCATGCAAGAGGCAGCCTATCAATGATTCTCTCATCTTTGATGTTTCTATCTCACTCTCCCCCCCCCTTCCTCTCTGAAATAAGAAAAAAACGACATTTAAAGAAATGATTCAGTAAAAGATAAATAAAGCAAAATGTCAATAGTTGTTGTCTTCTAAGTCAGTGGTTCTAAACCCTTTTGCACACACTACTACACCTGGGGAGCTGTTAAAACTCCCCATGTTCAGGCTACACCCCACACAAATTACATCAGGGTCTCTGGGGGGCAGGGTGCCAAACATCAGGTTTTTTAAAAGCTCCCCAGGTGAGGCTGGCACCAAGGTTGAGATTCGGTTGTCTAAATGGTGGGCATATGGGTGTTTGTTGTATTTTGACTTTTCTCCATATTTGACATTTTTTATTAAAATATATATTTTTAAGGGCAGGATTGCAAAGCAAACCCTCCATGCTTTCCTCCCGCCACTAGGAGGAAACCCTGCACTGCTCAGCGCGCCCTTCTTCGCCCAGCTTTCCTCAGCAGCCCCCTCATCCCCAGTAGACTATACACCCTGCAGGGCCCCACACCTGCCCCCCACCATACCAGTAGGCTTTGTTCTTCTTTTCCTGGCCACAGGCCTCCAGGATGCTTTGTCTCCCAGAGCTTCAAACACCCTCTAGCCCACATTCGCCTCTCTCTCTCTCTCTCTCTCTCCTGCCTCTCAGCAGCCCCAGCAATGAGCGTTCTGACTCTCATTTCTCAACTCTTTGCAGTCTGCCAGAAGCAGATCATCTAGCCCAGTGGTCGGCAAACCGTGGCTCGCGAGCCACAGGCGGCTCTTTGGCCCCTTGAGTGTGGCTCTTCCTAAGCCTTAGGAGTACCCTAATGAAGTGAATAACAATGCACCTACCTATATAGTTTCAGTTTCTATTGAAACTTCGTGGCCCATGCACAGAAGTCGGTATTTTGTGGAAGAGCCACACTCAAGGGGCCAAAGAGCCGCATGTGGCTCGCGAGCCGCAGTTTGCCAACCACGGATCTAGCCATATGCATCCATTCTCTGGCCTCGACCATGACCTCGGTACCTATCACCTGGGCCCTCAGAAGGCAGCATGAGCTCCAATCCCAACTCTGCTCCTTTCTAGCTGTGGGATCTTGGGCAAGGTGCCTAACTCTCCTGTGCCTCAGTTTTCTCATCTGTAAAATGGGGTAGATGGTAACAGTAGCTTTAAGGACTGTTTTATTTTTTAAAACATATTTTTACTGATTTCAGAGAGGAAGGGAGAGGGAGAGATAGAAACATCAATGATGAGAGAGAATCATTGATCGGCTGCCTCCTGCACCCATGGGAATGGAACCATGACCTCCTGGTTCAGAGGTCAACACTCAACTACTGAGACACACCTGCCAGGCAAGGGGTTGTTTTAAGGATTGATTACACTTAAATTGTTGAAGCTAAAATTAAGTTAAAATAGTGGCTGGCGTAAGAACAAGTACGTCTTCATTAAATGTGAGCTGCTATTATAACCATCCAAGTAGAGGATAGATAAAAAAGAAGCCTCTTTGTTTAATGGCTGGACATTAGTTTTAACTTTACTATTTAAATTTGTTTTCCTGTTTGAAAAATGTCAAAAGTCATGGACATCAGTGTGGGATTGCTAGGGGCGGGGGAGTGGAGGGAGGTGGAAGAGGATATGGGGGGGGATAAATGGTGATAGATGGAGACTTGACTTGGGTTGGTGAACAAACAACACAGTGTACAGATGATCTGTTGTGGAATTGTGGACCTGAAACTCCTATCATTTTAACCAATGTCAGCCCAATAAATTCAATAAAACGGAAGAAAAATTTCATCCTAGCTGGTTTGGCTCAATGTGGATAGAGCATCGCCCTGCAGACTGAAGGGTCCTGGGTTCGATTCCAATCAGGGCTCAATACCCAGTAGGGGGTGTGCAGGAGGCAGCCGATCAATGATTCTCTCTCATCATTGATGTTTCTATCTGTCTCTCCCTCTCCCTTCCTCTCTGAAATCAATAAAAATATATTTTAAAAAGAAAAATTTCAAACATACTGAAAAACACAGTATAGCACAAGTACATTAAATATCTACCCACTATATAGATGCAAAAATTTAAAATATTTCGCTATACTTGCTTCATTTTTATTGATATGTGTGTGTGTGTGTGTGTGTGTGTAAAAGTGTATATATGTATGTCTTTTTGGTTGATAAGTCATTTAAAAATAAATTTCACATATGATAGGAACTCCTCAGCATGCATCATCAGAAAACAAGACCATTCTCTCATCCACTCCCTGAGGAATTTAGCAGTCATTTCCCAAAAGCTCAATTCACATTTACATTTTCCCAATTGTCTTGCAAATATCTTTTAGGCCTGTTTTTCTCACACCAGGGATCAAGCATTGTAGTTGGTATTTCTCTTGAATCTCTGAATCTACAATAAACTCTTTCTGTTGTTATTCAAACGCACCAGAAGAAGAAGCATCTTTGGGGAAAGGTGCCCACCCTTTCCCAGGAACATCCCCGCCCTTGGGAGGTAGCCTGTTGCGCATGGCTCCAGGCAGAGAATGCCTCAGCCTATCTGAAGGGAAGGTACAGGCAAGGACAGGTACCTGGCCTGGAGCTCCAGGGAGCGCTGCTTTCCTGACACCAGGAAGGTCCGAGGCAGATTGAGGTTGGAGCTTTCTTTTAGCTGAAATGGAGGGAGAAAGCGGCTTTGTGAGGGCTATTGAATCCCTCATCCTTTGCACGCATGCGCACACAGATTTGGGGGGCAAAGTCAGATGCCTCTGTTCCAACCTCCCAGCACCAAGGCCCCACTTCCGGTTCCCATTTCCCACGCCCTGGCACTTACCTCCATGCCATCTACATCGATGCGTGCCCGCACGCTAAACTTCTGGCCAAGGAGCCGCAGCCTGGGCACGCAGTAGAGGAGGCGGTCATTGAACTAGGAAGGAAAACGTTGGGCTGTAGGTGTGTAGGACCCAGGAGAGCTGTGCCCAGCTCCCTACAATCTTATAGGACTCCCGAAGCTTTATGACTGGGAGACAACGGCCTAGACAGAACACAAAGGTCGCAAGGAGCCCTAGCCGGTTTGGCTCGGTGGATAGAGGTCCTGAAAGGTCCCAGGTTCAATTCCGACTAAGGGCATGTACCTTGGTTGCGGGCACATCCCTAGTGGGAGGTGTGCGGGAGGCAGCTGATCAATGTTTCTCTCTCATCGATGTTTCTGGCTCTCTATCTCTCTCCTTTCCTCTCTGTAAAAAATCAATAAAATATATTAAAAAAAATAG